CTGTTCCTCATGCTGTCTCTTACTGTTCCTCATGCTGTCTCTTCCTGTTCCTCATGCTGTCTCTTCCTGTTCCTCATGCTGTCTCTTCCTGTTCCTCATGCTGTCTCTTCCTGTCCCTCATGCTGTCTCTTCCTGTTCCTCATGCTGTCTCTTCCTGTCCCTCATGCTGTCTCTTCCTGTTCCTCATGCTGTCTCTTCCTGTCCCTCATGCTGTCTCTTCCTGTTCTTCATGCTGTCTCTTACTGTTCCTCATGCTGTCTCTTCCTGTTCCTCATGCTGTCTCTTCCTGTCCCTCATGCTGTCTCTTCCTGTTCCTCATGCTGTCTCTTCCTGTCCCTCATGCTGTCTCTTCCTGTTTCTCATGCTGTCTCTTCCTGTTCCTCATGCTGTCTCTTCCTGTTCCTCATGCTGACTCTTCCTGTCCCTCATGCTGTCTCTTCCTGTTCCTCATGCTGTCTCTTCCTGTTCCTCATGCTGTGTCTTCCTGTTCCTCATGCTGTCTCTTCCTGTTCCTCATGCTGACTCTTCCTGTCCCTCATGCTGTCTCTTCCTGTTCCTCATCCTGTCTCTTACTGTCCCTCATGCTGTCTCTTCCTGTTCCTCATGCTGTCTCTTCCTGTTCCTCATGCTGACTCTTCCTGTTCCTCATGCTGTCTCTTCCTGTCCCTCATGCTGTCTCTTCCTGTTCCTCATGCTGTGTCTTCCTGTTCCTCATGCTGTGTCTTCCTGTTCCTCATGCTGTCTCTTCCTGTTCCTCATGCTGTCTCTTCCTGTTCCTCATGCTGTCTCTTCCTGTCCCTCATGCTGTCTCTTCCTGTTCCTCATGCTGACTCTTCCTGTTCCTCATGCTGACTCTTCCTGTTCCTCATGCTGTCTCTTCCTGTTCCTCATGCTGTCTCTTCCTGTTCCTCATGCTGTCTCTTCCTGTCCCTCATGCTGTCTCTTCCTGTTTCTCATGCTGTCTCTTCCTGTTTCTCATGCTGACTCTTCCTGTTCCTCATGCTGTCTCTTCCTGTTCCTCATGCTGTCTCTTCCTGTTCCTCATGCTGACTCTTCCTGTTCCTCATGCTGTCTTACTGTTCCTCATGCTGTCTCTTCCTGTTCCTGATGCTGTCTCTTCCTGTTCCTCATGCTGTCTCTTCCTGTTCCTCATGCTGTCTCTTCCTGTCCCTCATGCTGTCTCTTCCTGTTCCTCATGCTGTCTCTTCCTGTCCCTCATGCTGTCTCTTCCTGTTCTTCATGCTGTCTCTTACTGTTCCTCATGCTGTCTCTTCCTGTTCCTCATGCTGTCTCTTCCTGTCCCTCATGCTGTCTTTCCTGTTCCTCATGCTGTCTCTTCCTGTCCCTCATGCTGTCTCTTCCTGTTTCTCATGCTGTCTCTTCCTGTTCCTCATGCTGACTCTTCCTGTCCCTCATGCTGTCTCTTCCTGTTCCTCATGCTGTCTCTTCCTGTTCCTCATGCTGTGTCTTCCTGTTCCTCATGCTGTCTCTTCCTGTTCCTCATGCTGACTCTTCCTGTCCCTCATGCTGTCTCTTCCTGTTCCTCATCCTGTCTCTTACTGTCCCTCATGCTGTCTCTTCCTGTTCCTCATGCTGTCTCTTCCTGTTCCTCATGCTGACTCTTCCTGTTCCTCATGCTGTCTCTTCCTGTCCCTCATGCTGTCTCTTCCTGTTCCTCATGCTGTGTCTTCCTGTCCCTCATGCTGTCTCTTCCTGTTCTTCATGCTGTCTCTTACTGTTCCTCATGCTGTCTCTTCCTGTTCCTCATGCTGTCTCTTACTGTTCCTCATGCTGTCTCTTCCTGTTCCTCATGCTGTCTCTTACTGTTCCTCATGCTGTCTCTTCCTGTTCCTCATGCTGTCTCTTCCTGTTCCTCATGCTGTCTCTTCCTGTTCCTCATGCTGTCTCTCCTGTCCCTCATGCTGTCTCTTCCTGTCCCTCATGCTGTCTCTTCCTGTCCCTCATGCTGTCTCTTCCTGTCCCTCATGCTGTCTCTTCCTGTTCCTCATGCTGACTCTTCCTGTTCCTCATGCTGACTCTTCCTGTTCCTCATGCTGTCTCTTCCTGTTCCTCATGCTGTCTCTTCCTGCCCCTCATGCTGTCTCTTCCTGTTCTCATGCTGTCTCTTCCTGTTTCTCATGCTGTCTCTTCCTGTTCCTCATGCTGTCTCTTCCTGTCCCTCATGCTGTCTCTTCCTGTTCCTCATGCTGTCTCTTCCTGTCCCTCCTGCTGTCTCTTCCTGTTCCTCATGCTGTCTCTTCCTGTCCCTCATGCTGTCTCTTCCTGTTCCTCATGCTGTCTCTTCCTGTTCCTCATGCTGTCTCTTCCTGTTCCTCATGCTGTCTCTTCCTGTTCCTCATGCTGACTCTTCCTGTTCCTCATGCTGTCTCTTACTGTTCCTCATGCTGTCTCTTCCTGTTCCTGATGCTGTCTCTTCCTGTTCCTCATGCTGTCTCTTCCTGTCCCTCATGCTGTCTCTTCCTGTTCCTCATGCTGTCTCTTCCTGTCCCTCATGCTGTCTCTTCCTGTTCCTCATGCTGTCTCTTCCTGTCCCTCATGCTGTCTCTTCCTGTTCCTCATGCTGTCTCTTCCTGTTCCTCATGCTGTGTCTTCCTGTTCCTCATGCTGTCTCTTCCTGTTCCTCATGCTGTCTCTTCCTGTTCCTCATGCTGTCTCTTCCTGTTCCTCATGCTGTCTCTTCCTGTCCCTCATGCTGTCTCTTCCTGTTCCTCATGCTGTCTCTTCCTGTCCCTCATGCTGTCTCTTCCTGTTCCTCATGCTGTCTCTTCCTGTCCCTCATGCTGTCTCTTCCTGTTCTTCATGCTGTCTCTTACTGTTCCTCATGCTGTCTCTTCCTGTTCCTCATGCTGTCTCTTCCTGTCCCTCATGCTGTCTCTTCCTGTTCCTCATGCTGTCTCTTCCTGTCCCTCATGCTGTCTCTTCCTGTTTCTCATGCTGTCTCTTCCTGTTCCTCATGCTGTCTCTTCCTGTTCCTCATGCTGACTCTTCCTGTCCCTCATGCTGTCTCTTCCTGTTCCTCATGCTGTCTCTTCCTGTTCCTCATGCTGTGTCTTCCTGTTCCTCATGCTGTCTCTTCCTGTTCCTCATGCTGACTCTTCCTGTCCCTCATGCTGTCTCTTCCTGTTCCTCATCCTGTCTCTTACTGTCCCTCATGCTGTCTCTTCCTGTTCCTCATGCTGTCTCTTCCTGTTCCTCATGCTGACTCTTCCTGTTCCTCATGCTGTCTCTTCCTGTCCCTCATGCTGTCTCTTCCTGTTCCTCATGCTGTGTCTTCCTGTTCCTCATGCTGTGTCTTCCTGTTCCTCATGCTGTGTCTTCCTGTTCCTCATGCTGTGTCTTCCTGTTTCTCATGCTGTCCTCCTGTCCCTCATGCTGTCTCTTCCTGTCCCTCATGCTGTCTCTTCCTGTTCCTCATGCTGTCTCTTCCTGTTCCTCATGCTGTGTCTTCCTGTTCCTCATGCTGTCTCTTCCTGTCCTTCATGCTGTCTCTTCCTGTTCCTCATGCTGTCTCTTCCTGTCCCTCATGCTGTCTCTTCCTGTTCCTCATGCTGTCTCTTACTGTTCCTCATGCTGTCTCTTCCTGTCCCTCATGCTGTCTCTTCCTGTTCCTCATGCTGTCTCTTCCTGTCACTCATGCTGTCTCTTCCTGTTCCTCATGCTGACTCTTCCTGTTCCTCATGCTGTCTCTTCCTGTTCCTCATGCTGACTCTTCCTGTTCCTCATCCTGTCTCTTACTGTCCCTCATGCTGTCTCTTCCTGTCCCTCATGCTGTCTCTTCCTGTTCCTCATGCTGTCTCTTCCTGTTCCTCATGCTGTCTCTTCCTGTCCCTCCTGCTGTCTCTTCCTGTCCCTCATGCTGTCTCTTCCTGTTCCTCATGCTGTCTCTTCCTGTTCCTCATGCTGTCTCTTCCTGTTCCTCATGCTGTCTCTTCCTGTCCCTCATGCTGTCTCTTCCTGTTCCTCATGCTGACTTTTCCTGTTCCTCATGCTGACTCTTCCTGTTCCTCATGCTGTCTCTTCCTGTTCCTCATGCTGTCTCTTCCTGTTCCTCATGCTGTCTCTTCCTGTCCTTCATGCTGTCTCTTCCTGTTCCTCATGCTGTCTCTTCCTGTCCCTCATGCTGTCTCTTTCTGTCCCTCATGCTGTCTCTTCCTGTTCCTCATGCTGTCTCTTCCTGTTCCTCATGCTGTCTCTTCCTGTCCCTCAGGCTGTCTCTTCCTGTTCCTCATGCTGACTCTTCCTGTTCCTCATGCTGACTCTTCCTGTTCCTCATCCTGTCTCTTACTGTCCCTCATGCTGTCTCTTCCTGTCCCTCATGCTGTCTCTTCCTGTTCCTCATGCTGACTCTTCCTGTCCCTCATGCTGTCTCTTACTGTCCCTCATGCTGTCTCTTCCTGTTCCTCATGCTGTCTCTTCCTGTCCCTCATGCTGTCTCTTCCTGTTCCTCATGCTGTGTCTTCCTGTCCCTCATGCTGTCTCTTCCTGTTCCTCATGCTGTGTCTTCCTGTTCCTCATGCTGACTCTTCCTGTTCCTCATGCTGTCTCTTCCTGTTCCTCATGCTGTCTCTTCCTGTTCCTCATGCTGACTCTTCCTGTTCCTCATGCTGTCTCTTCCTGTTCCTCATGCTGTCTCTTCCTGTTCCTCATGCTGTCTCTTCCTGTTCCTCATGCTGTCTCTTCCTGTTCCTCATGCTGTCTCTTCCTGTCCCTCATGCTGTCTCTTCCTGTCCCTCATGCTGTCTCTTCCTGTTCCTCATGCTGACTCTTCCTGTTCCTCATGCTGTCTCTTCCTGTTCCTCATGCTGTCTCTTCCTGTTCCTCATGCTGACTCTTCCTGTTCCTCATGCTGTCTCTTCCTGTCCCTCATGCTGTCTTCCTGTCCCTCATGCTGTCTCCTTCTGTCCCTCATGCTGTCTCTTCCTGTTCCTCATGCTGTGTCTTCCTGTTCCTCATGCTGTCTCCTCCTGTCCCTCATGCAGGCTGTGCCATCATCCGGCCTCCGCGGGACGGAGGGATCCGTTACCGAGGCCTGACGCAGGAGCAGGTACAAAAGGACAGCAGTTACTATGTGACATGAATTATGTGATTTCTGATTTCTGCAGAGGTAATCTGATTACTGGAGACCTGCTGCAGCAGCTGCTGCAGCAGTTAGAGCTGCTGCGACCCAATCACACTGAGCAGAACCCGACGTTCTGGGTCCTGGAAGAGCCAAACTGCAAGAACACAAGAACTTCTGTCTAGTTACTGGTGCAAATATCTCAGCACATATAAAGTATCTAACTTATGAAATACAGGATCATAATCATCATGATATGGGAAAATATCTTGCTGAAGTTAATCTGCAGGGCAACGATTATTTGTATTTTTAAATATTAAAACAATATCGACTTAAAACAAGCTCTTTATCTCAGTGTGAGTCACTTTTGTTGTATTGAGATATTTGAACCAGAAACTCGACTTGGGTTTAGTTTGTTCCTCTCTAGTTTAATCAGTTATGCTGAAATTCAGCCCTTCTTGCTCATCTTACAAGGTTTCATTTCAGTAGGTCCACTTATTCCTCAGGGTTTGTATTTTTGCTTGTAAATACCCCCCTCCGCCCCCCGCCCCCTCCCCTCTGTCCGGCTCTGCCCTTTCGCCCATCAGCCGGTCCAGTGTTCCCACCACCAGCCTCCCAGTATTTAAGCTCCTCTCCTTGTCGTTGTGATTTAGTTCCATGTAAATAATTTTATTAAAAGTCTCGTTAATACGACATGCTGAGGTTGTTTCTGTGGTAAAACGTGTTTCAGTCTCCAGGTTTGTGGATGAGTTTTACCTGAATCAGCTTTTCTGCACAGCTGTTTAAAGCTGTTTAAGCATCCAGGGTCAGACGGCTGCAGGTCTGGATTCAGATCTGTAAACACAGATTAACACGTTTAGAAATATTTAGAAGTTTTTATGCCTGTTATGTTGCAGTAAATGTGAGGATGTAATCCAGAGACAAATCTCTCTAACTCTGCGTTTCCTCTCAGATCCGCAGCATTCAGATTCTGCCTGTGGATTATGAGATCGAGTACATCTGCAGAGAAAACCGGCAGATCTCGGGGCCAAAGGTCAGGAAGTGTTTGCCCAACGGCAAGTGGACGGACATGACGCAGCTCAGCGTATGCTGTGAGTTCATCATTTCTTCAAGGTTTAAATCTTGAATCTGGAGCCATCAGCTGCTGTAGGTTTCAGTGGGTCCAGTTATCTCTGCTCAGAACCACCAGACAATCCTCCGCCCACAAAAACACAGAATCCAAACATTAGTGGATTAGATGTACAATAAAGGAATCTAAGTCTATTATTCTCAGCTCCTATCTGGATGAAAAGTTACCAGGAAGTTTTGTCTTATTTCAAGTGTAATAAATATTTGCAGCAGAAACTGGACAGAAGCACTTGGCAGAATTTTGTGTTTGTGCAGCATCACGGGTCCTCCACCGTGCTGAACAGCGGCCATGTTGTTTCTCAGGAGAATCTCTTCATTACTTTAAACATAAATAACTGATTCTGCTGCTGGCAGAAGATTAAAGGTTTTTTTTGCCAGATTTCAGTGATCAGATTTTGTTTTTTATTCTTTTTTCAAAATTTAAAAACATCATCAAACATGTCAGATAGATAGATAGATAGATAGATAGATAGATAGATAGATAGATAGATAGATAGATAGATAGATAGATAGATAGATAGATAGATAGATAGATAGATAGATAGATAGATAGATAGATAGATAGATAGATAGATAGATAGATAGATAGATAGATAGATAGATAGATAGATAGATAGATAGATAGATAGATAGATAGATAGATAGAGATAGATAGATAGATAGATAGATATAGATAGATCGTTCAGATTTCTGGCCCCGCTGAAATCAGCTTTTATTTAGACGAACGTGACGCTTCACTGCTGAGAGTTTTTCCTCCAGGTGCGTCCTGGCGCCCAGCAGCCGGTTTGGACTCGGTCTGAAGCCGAGCAGGTACGATTCCCGTCCAGGAATAGCTGCAGGCTGCTGGCTGGAGCTCAGAGAGACCAGAGAGACTTCAGGAGCCCAGCAGGAGGCTCACATCACCGCCCAGAGCAGAATCCGGATCTGAGTCACATAGGCTCCCAAATGACACGGAAACTTTTCCTGCGTTTCTCCTTCAGCGCCAGGTTCATGGCACAAAAGTAAAACCTCACTTCAGAAAATAAAATCCAGGATTTTCATCTTTCTGAATTTAACCCTTGAAGGGCCGGTGTCACATGGCATTTTATACCACAGCCAAGTAACTTTTAGCAACTTCAGTTAAAAAATGCTGCATAAATCAAACAGAAATTTAACATGATACATTAATATCTTGAAAACAGGTCACTGTCTCTTTAAGGGGTCTGGTACGGCCCTGGAGGTCTGTCCTTAGATGGGTCAGCTCCCCCATCAGCTCTAACGCACTGAAATAAAGATGGCTGCGTCACAGTTTGCTGTTTGTGGAAGCTAGTCTGCAGGGTTCAGGGTTTTATTCTGCAGCTGCAGAATATGCTGAGTTTATGAAACCATACTGAATTAAATCTGATCTGAAAAACAGAGGACTTTCCAAATAAAACTCTGTGAATGGAAACATTTAGTCTGACAGCTGGAGCTCAATAAACGATAAAACGATAAAATAATAGAACTAGAAGATGTGATCATTCAGATCCACTCAGGATTTTATCCTGGTTCTGTTCAGGCAGTTCTGCTCGGTTCTGTTCGGGTTTTTCACCAACCTATATAGGGAAACCTGCAACACCTTTACTGTGAAAACCCTTGGGGAAGTGTTGAGTTCCTGCTGAGGTTTGGACAGAAACCAGCATCACTGGAGGCTGAAGTCCTGATGATCAGATGGATATTTACACATTTTACCAAAGTTTCACTGATGAGTTTCAGTCATCGTGTCTCAACATGCAGCAGCATCGTGTCTCAACATGCAGCAGCATCGTGTCTCAACATGCAGCAGCATCGTGTCTCAACATGCAGCAGCATCGTGTCTCAACATGCAGCAGCATCGTGTCTCAACATGCAGCAGCATCGTGCAGTATCATGCTCAAGGTTTCATTTTTAGTTCTGAGGATTTGTGAAGGAGAGAAACTTGAAGAATCATCAGAAGGTTCTGGATTCGTCCAGCTCCTCCTCGGTTCTGGATCTTCTCTCTGGAGGAGTTTGGCTCTCAGAGCTCTAGTGAAACAGGATTTTTGTTTTGTCTGCTTATGTAAGAGCGCAGGCTGCAGTGTGCTCACACACTTTGTTGGAGCGAACCCGACAGCTAAACTGAATTATTTTCCTCCTCTCTGTCAGGCAGTCAGACCAGAGCAGCCGAGCGCCGCTGATTTCTTTCTCCCTCCTGCTAATTTTGTCGTCTTCCTCGGTTTGTGTCTGAGTTTTGGCTTTTATCCCGTTTGTGAAGCTGACAGGAGCCCAAACCTGTTTGGAGGAAACGGTCTGAACTAATAGATGGATTTTCCTGTTTGCTCATTTATATTCAGCGTTTACCTGCAGAGTGTTTGAGTCTCCAATCAGAGGCAGAGCCTCTCCAACAGCCAGCACTGTCTGTCCACCGTCCATATTAGGTTGCCATGGTTAACAGGCATCGTTCTGGACAATTATCTGAGAAATGATTTGCAGCATAAGAAACATTTTGTGTTTTCTCTTCTTTGGAAAGGAACTGATCAGAGGAAACATCTTGTAAGTTTTACCTCCGGCCTTCTGCTCTGCTCCCCCTCAGTGCTGCAGTGCCCCAAGGTTTGGACGTCCCTGGAGAACGGCAGGGTGACGGCGCGGCCCCCGGGGCCCCCGGCGGAGGGAACGGTCCTCCACTACAGCTGCAACTCCGGCTTCATCCTGGAGGGCAGAAACATCAGCCACTGCACCAAGCTGGGCAAATGGGACGCCCCCAAACCCACCTGCCTCTGTGAGTGAGTGTGTGTGTGTGGGTGTGTGTGTGTGTGTGTGTGGAAAGCAGCAGCTGTTTGATAACATCCTGATAGCAGATTTAAAACTCAAAATTCAGATTTTTTTCCTTTTGTGAACGCACCAATCAAAAGCTAACCACGGCACCACAGCTCCAAACTAATTCATAAACAACACTGTAAAAAATGTTCAGTTAGCCACTTTTAATGAGTGTGAGGTAAAATAAAAGGAGTTGTGACATGCCTCACTGCTTTCTGTATTACTTTATTTACACTAAACCAGAAAGATTTGATTTCTGGAGAATTTAGAGTAAATAAAATAATAGAATAAAATTTTAAAATAAAATAAATGCAGAAAATCAGCAACAAATAAACAGGTCAGAAAATAAATAGTTGCTAATTTATCTTTTGTGACATTAAATAAGAATAAAATCCACAAATGATTCCAAAATATATAATACAAATATGTAATATAAAACATATTCTTTAAGTTTCATAGAACAAAACTGCAAAACTTATTTTTTTTATCCTGAAAGTTAAGAATGAAACTATAATAAAAAATTCAGATTAATAATAAATATTAACACATTAAAATTTTAGATATAACTTAATAATAAAACTATTTGAATGAATTGAACTGTAAAATCTATTTAAAAAAATACCAGCGCTGCAAACTTTGGTATCAATTTAATGTTTTTTTTCACTGCATAAAAGATGAACTTGATGGCAGTAAACATTTAAAGTCAATTATTTTCTCTTAATCTTTATTATTTTTTCATATTATTTCATAAATCCTTGTTGTAATATTAGTGACCATATTAGACATTAGAATTGAATCCAGATTCATCAACTGCAACATCAGGCCTCAAATGCAACACCTGCTCTGACAGGAGACAAATAGTCCGACCAATCAGAGCGCGATCCTCTGGCAGGCAGAGAGAGGAAGAGGAGGAAGAGGAGGAAGGCCTGGGAGTGAATGAATCCATAAAGACCGGAAGTTGTTCTGGTTCTGGTTCTGCTCTGCATCCCCAGAACCAGAACCAAGAGAGGAGAAGCAGCTTTCAGCATCTATGCACCAAAAATTTGGAACAAACTTCCAGAAACCTGTAAAACAGCAGAAACCCTGACTTCTTTTAAATATCAATTAAAAACACACCTGTTTAGAACTGTTTTTGAAATGTAATATGTAACAATGTATTGTCCATTATATGTTGCATGACTTTGTGTTCTTGTGTTTATGATGTAAAGCACTTTGAAATGCCTTGCTGCTGAAATGTGCTATACAAATAAAATTTGATTGATTGATTGATTGATTCACTTCCGGAACGTCTCATTCTGATGAGAGCCAATAAATGAGGATTTCCAGGCAGAAAGCGAGCGGAGCATGTAGGAAATGTTGGCACCAGTCAGGGTGCCATGGGAACGGTGGTTTTGAGGGGTTCTGGACAGCTGGACTGAACATCCGGCACAAATGTTTAGATTCTCATGAAGCTTTAAGGTTTAATTTTAGATGCAGATTCAGGATCAAAACTGTGACGTTTAATTTCCTCCATCTGTAACTGAAGGTAGTTGTTTTTTTTTTACACTTTTCTGGAACACATTGTGAAGCAGTTACATAATAATTGGCCTCCCGGTGGATCCGCTCCACGTGAATCAGCTCTGCTGCCCCCTAGTGGAGCGGATGAGTCCATGCTGTTTTAATGCTGAGTCATTCATTTCTACTTTTTCCTTTTTCTGTTTGCTCACCCAAGATGACAGAAACTACACAGGTAGGACTCTTTCATTATTTTGAAACATTATTTTCTAATGTATTTTAAATATATATGTAATTGATCATAAAATATGAAAAAAAGCAATTTCCCTGAAAAGTTTTTCTTTAACTTTATAATCAGCTCTTTTTCTCCAGATGCAACGTAAAATTTTTTATGTGACTTATTTTCTTTATTATTAAATTAGAATATACTTATTTTACACAATTGAATATGTTTTTGTTATTAGAACATCAGTAAATTAATGAAGAAAAAATAAATAAATTTCTTCCGGGAAATGATTTTTTCTTCCCTTCTCAGAAGATTTTAACTGGAATCTTATTTTCCCCCAGTTTCTGAAACATTATAATTATTATTTATTATTATTAAAGTTTCATCTCCTGTTTGATTGAAGCGACTAACTGAATTCATCATCTTCTCAACATTTCAGCTGACAAATCTGATCAAACTCTCATAAAACAAACTAAATTAGGTTTAAAGACAATCAAATAGCAAAATGGCTGCAGTGGGGGTTTCTGACATGGTGATATGCCCAGGGTGGGATCTTTCAGGGGGAGGCATGACCTGCAAAAGAAAATCTAGTAAAATTGAAATAAAAAAACTTTACAATTTAATAAATTAAAATAATTACATTTCTGCTCAGTTTAAGTATTGGTGTTTAAGAAACTATTGTCAAAATTACATATTTTAGACTTTTGTTATGTAATTTTACATTTTTCTCCCCTCCTTATCGCGGTGTCTCGGTTTTAATGGTCCTCCAGAAACTCTAGAAAGGTTCCTGCTTTTAACAGAGCTGCTGCTTTCAATCTCATCTAAATTCAGAGTTAATTAACTTGTTACATTAATGTTTTGGAAAACATGTACATTTAGGAATAATTTATTGTACTGTTTAGTTTTTCTTGAGTAATATTTTTCTAAAGTATTTCTAATCTATTCTTGAGCAAAACGTCTGAATCCTTTGAGAATAACTTCACTGAATGAAGAAGAAACACAAACTGCATGAGACACAGACAGACTGCTGCTTTGTGCAAAATGTTTGTTTTTCTAAATGTAAATTTAATTCATTTATTTTTTTACCTGCTGCGTCATTCAGAAGTTTTTCATTCTGCGCCAACGTAGTTTATTTGCTCCATGGTTGTTTTTAATAATTTGGGAAAGTGTTGCCTGAATCTGTTATTTTGTAATTATGGTATCTTTTTTTTCCTTTTAGTCTTTAAAAGAATTTGGACATAACTTTACATTTTTGTCAGTCTGACATCATTTCTAAACATTGAATCAGATTTTCTGACCAGGTACTCGGTGCTGGAGTGACCTTTCAACCTGGCACTGTTTCACTCTTGTTTTACATTTTTTGGGAGCCCATATCTGCCTAAATCAGATAATTATTAAACAAACAAAAAAAAGTGTGCGTCATGAGGCTGCGGTCTGTGTTGTGGCCACTAGAGGGCAGCAGTGATCTTTTAGAAGCGAGAAGAGACAGAAGCTTCTTCTGACAGCTTTTCCAATTAAAGCCTTTTCAGCTGAAGGAAACGAGATTATAGCCCAAGCTCTGAAGTTCGGAAATCATTTGAGAAAGCACTTTGCGTTTCCTCTAAATCCCAACCAGCCCATTACATGAGGGACATAATTGTTCCGCCCAACTACTCCACAAATCCTTCTGATATTACGGAGAAGATGAAAAATAATTTGCTTATTAGTGGGGGAATATTTTCAGTTTGGTTAAATCAATTCCCTCATGTCCTCTCTTAATTGGAATTTCAAAGTTTTAATGGAAATTGTATTCTTATTAGTTTGTTGCTGATCATTGAAGCGGCACTACAGCCACAGATATTAACAAAGCAGCAGATATTTCACAGCTCAGAAGCCTGGGTTCTGGTGGTCCGGTTCGCGGTTTGACAAATCAGAACCTTTCCTCTGAATGTTAAAGCAAAAAATAAAATAAAATGAACAGATGATTCACAAATGGAGCTCAGAAAGTTCTAGCTTCTGTACGCAAACATGAAGAAACAAACATCATCCTGTTAGTTTCTCTCATTACAAAAACTTCCTTCAATCAAAAGCAGAAAATTCCCATTTAATGAATTTCTGCTCCCAGCTGCATCGACCTGCAGCGTCCTCACAATCAGACCAACGTTGGTGACATCATCACTCATCGTCAGGAAGTCGTACACATTCATGGGTTTCTCCTGAGTGTATGGACAGAAATGAGTTTAAGTTTAGACACTCCACACCAAAGCAATGCAAGAATTGCTGCCATTCTGTGCAGGGCTCAGAAAGTGTGTCAGGAAAACATAACATTGTGCTGTATTTCGTTCACGCCTCTTAAAGGTGTTTCCACACCTGACGGTCTGCTGGACTCGCTTCTATTTGGAACCAAGACTGCAGCTGTGGTTCACTTTCACACTGGACTGAGTCAAACCAAACTTCACCAAATGAACACCGTCGAAGTTTAACGGTTTCAGGATTTTATTTGGACAAGACCAACAGACTGATTCTCTCCACCAAAATCAAAGTAAAACTACAAACATCACCTTCAGTCAACAGTCCAAGATCCATCCAGCCGGTTTTCACCCACAGCATGTTGTACTGCAGGCAGCATGAGGATCCAGATCCTCCAGTTTTGCACCAAAATTTTTCCAACATAAAATTCAGACGACATTAATGAGCTGCAGAGGTTTTTCACACTAACAGATGACATTGATGACGATATTAAACGTTAAAGGGCCCAATACTGACTCAGCTCCAGACTGAAAACAAAACCATTAGTCACAGCTCTTTGTTGTTGTTGTGGCGCCCCCTGGCGGCAGGGGCCCTCCGTAGATTTCAGGCGGGAGATAAAAAGGTCTTTGGCTTTGATAAAGTCTGGAAACTTTTAATATATAAAAAAAATGTTTTTGGAGTTTGTAACCAAAGATTCTTCCACTCGGTGTCTAAGAGTCACAGTTAAATTGTGGAGCAGGAAAACTGAATATTTGCATAAATGGCTGTTTTGTTTTTTGTTTTTGTTTTTTTAAATCAGCAAAATGATTTCTAAATCAAACTTTAACATTTAGATATTGGCGAAGCAGTGACGTCACTCGGTAATGGCAGTGACGTCACTGCCATTTCTACCGACAATGTCAGCAGAAAACGAGTGATTGTTTTCTGACATCAGCTCTCTCATGTCGTTGACGTGGATTTTGTCGCCACCAGGTGGCCAAACTCAGGCATTTCAACGGTTTCATATACGGACAGAAAAAGTATAACATTGTTGAAATCAACATTTTTACAATTTTTGCTAAACCTGAAAGCATTTGGATCTTAAAATAGTGGAATATTCTAAATGTTGATTCATTTTAATAATTCCTCCATGTTGATGTAACTAAAGCAGAGCCGGCCCAAGGTATCAGTGAATTCAGTCTTTAAAAATCCTTAGGTCTGTAGATCTAAAATTTTAATTAAGATGTTAATGTTTAATATTTTTTATATTAAAAAACAGTTTCTTGTTACCATAGTAACAGTCTGACACTATGAGTTGAATCTTTTCTAAGTGTCTGAGCTCCAGCATGTCGGTAAATAATGACCAGATTGGCTGAATTTGCTTCTCCTCAATGATCCCAGGGACTCTGGATCGAATCGCCTTCACTGACGCAGATGACCTTGAGTCAGACTGTCCTCAGGTCCCTGTTTGACCTTGAGCCGGCCCTGCCCAGTAGCCCATGTCGTCCCCTCAGTGCGAGCGCCGAGACGAGCAGCACTGAACCTACAATGCAATCTTGACTCGACAGACTCGACAAACAGATAATTAACAAAGCCGCCGCGCTCTGCTTCCACAAATAGACATTTCTGAGCGTCGGCTCGGACCTGACCTCCTTCTCGCGTGGTTCCATCTCCTCGCCGTGTGCCATCGCCACCCACCTACTGGCTCCTCAGCGGGAGAAAGGTTAATACCCTCTCCTGTCGCTGCCTCTCCAGATCGGTGGCAGAAAGACTCTATATTTGCTCCTCTGTTTCACTTGATAACTACTGCGGGTTTGCAGGGACGGAAACATAAAAATAAAGCAAATAAAGAAAATATATAATCAGCTTAAGTCCAAGAAATCTGCTGCTAATGCAAGAAGAAAAAGCTTAAGATGATTTCAGTTAATAATCTACTAACTGTTCAATATGGAGCCTAAAAGACTAAATCCTTCCTCTTTTTCACTTCCCACTAAGGGAAGTTTGCAAATGAATATTTATTTTCAGGAATCAATCCATAATAAATACAACGAACATCAGTTGGTTTAGCGCCGCGCTCAGAGGAAACGCTCCGGGCATCGAACCTGTGGCTGCGCATCCATCCACATTGGGAGCAAAACGCTTTCAGTATTCAGCTAATGTCAAAAAAACAGCAAGTTTACAATTGTGTTGTTTCCATGAAATAAGAAATAAAATCACTTGTCGCATTAGTTTGTTCATGCAATATAATTAAAAAACAAGCCGTGACATCATCATCCTGCCACTTCCTGTTGTCTTCTTTGTCTTTTCTGCCAGTAATAACTAATCACATGACCCAAGGACTTGTCAAAAAATGTGTTTTTTTTGTTGCCGTATTTCGCCGTATTAGCTCCATAGTGTCAATCTCTCCAACTGAACAGCATTAAATGAATAAAATATCTTGACATGTTATTTTAATGTCAACAAAGGCACTTGCTGTTTGTCAGAATAAAAGTACTTCCTGGTCTCTGTCCTGCTGACCAAACTGTTCTCTGTGCATCTTGACTGCAGATCAAAGATGCTAACTCATGATGTCACATGTTAAGTCAAGTTTTTAAGATAATTTTTGGCTGACAGAATATAAATTGTGTTCGAAGCTTTTTAAGGGAGTTGGATTTTTGCGGGGCTGTTAAAGATATCGCTTTGTTCCTACGCATTTATTTTGAAGAAGCCAACATGAGGAAACTCATGCTTGGTGAGGGATTGATGACTGGACTAAAGTCGTATCAACCGGAGAACCTCTGACCTGCTGCTGTGTCGTTTGG